GGCATTGGGGTGGAAGAGAAGTCACCCCATGGCACCATTTCACCCATAAAATTTAAGTTCTCTTGGTGTATTTCAAGATTATTTTCTTTAAATCAACACTGCACTGCATTATATATTGTCAATATGTAAAATATATTTCAAAATGACCAATAATTTGCTTGGAAACACAGAAAAAAAGCGTTTAGTTGAAGAGTGTCTCAAGCAAGATATTACCTCCAGTGAAAACAGAGAGAGACTAATGCCTGTTTGCTGTGTTAAGAGGCTGGATGCCGCGCATTAAACTAGTCACTTTACCTTCAATTATGTTCAATAATTGTTAAAATGACTAAAAAATTGAATATTAAACTTTAAAAATTATTGAATAGTATAAACTTCTTGATATTTACAAAAATAGTAAGGAATTTAAGCCCTAGAACCGATTAATGTATTGGCGGACTAATACTAAAGCTGGTTGACCGGCCAGTGCAAGCGAAAACATGTTGAGGTCGGTTCGTAAGAAATTCGTTAACCGAATTTAAGAATCTTATGGGAGGCAGTTCGTTAACCGAGGCGTTCATTAACCGAGGGACCACTGTATGTTGCACTTTATAGAGGGTGATTCTCTTTAGAATTTAAAATGTAACACAGTAATATACATTATATCAACATAGCCCTGTTGTTTACCATAATCAGGATAAACAATGTTAGACAAAACAATAAATAAAAAAAAAATTCTATCCTACAGGATGCATTACACCACACACCTGCAACTCATAACTATATCGAGATACTTTAGCAGTGGTAGCTTCCAAATTAGTATGGCAGACTGCTTGAAGATTTCTGTCTCAACAGTTTGCAAGTTTGTCAGAAACTTTGCAACTATTTTGACCCTTACGGCAAAAGATTACATTCACTTTCCAGATTCAGGCAACATACAAAACCTTGTAGATGAATTTCACACCTTTGCAGGGATGTCTGGTGTATTTGGCTGCATTGATGGGTCTCATATCCCTATTAGAAGCCCTGGAGGGAACACACCTGAACTACGTCGATGTAGAAAGGGGTGCAATTGATACATGGTTTTGATTTGTATAATGTAGTTTGTTTGAAAGTAGAGCAAGTGTAAAGGTAAATGGAAGCATTATTGGTTTGGTAAAAAAATTGTTTTAGATAATAGATTTTATTATCAAAGTTATTTTTCAATAAATTTTTTGGCATTAAATAGCGCATTTTACTTCCTCCAATCCCTTTTTAATTTTGTTTGAATTGAAATGCTGTTTCAAGTTGTACTGTGATAATGTTTGGATGAAGTAAAATGTGTTATGTAAAGCCAAAAAATTTATTGAAAAATAACTTTGATAATAAAACCTATTATCTAAAACAATCACTTTAATGCCCAAACCTCAGAGAATTTGATGTTTGTAGTTTAGTTATTGTCAGTTGTCTATTTAAAAAAGCAATTAATTTCCTGAAAAGATTCTGTCAAACTCAATATCTCCAAGATCTCAACGTATACCCATAGAGGGCCCTTGTGTGTAGTTTTACCGAACCTGTAAAAGTAGTGTTGTTAGTGTGTGTATTTGATGTCCATTTCAATTTTTCTTGTCAAGCTCAATCTCTTATTAGATTATAAAAATAGACATAAGACATTCACCTGACCCATGACACTGATTTTCATAGTTAAATGTGTAACAGCTGATTTAAATGTAATTTCTGTTATTGCATAATTAGCATTTCTGGCATGCCTGGTGCATGGCTGAGTTACCAGTTGCCCACATATAAACGAATGCACGAGGAAGACTCACACGCTCCGACTTCCTCATCGCAACTCCAGGTATGTGAACGGTTGTTTCATGCCGCCATGTTAAGTCAGTTTAACTCGGTTGAATTTTTTTAATATCAGTGTTCATGTTTTAACATAGCGAAATGATCATGTGCCAAGTATAATTAATGTAAAGTAAGTATCGCCTGTATTGTTGCCAGACGTATAGTTATGTGTAGTCGAGGTTAGACCTTTTAACACGCTCGTGACTCTTCCTCATCACATCTCCAGGCACTGTCTGTGTTGTCACCACTACCGAGGTACGGTAGCTACCTATGGGCAAGATGTTCATTGAAGGATGTCTTTAATATGGCGAGATTAGAATCCGAGGACAGGAGCACCCAGGGAACACCGTGCTAAGACACACTGCATCAAGCCTACCCCGGGGGCTACTAGCGACCAAGCTTCGGCTGTTTGTGTACTAAACAACCCCCGTGCCCAGTGTAACCAAGTCTTGCTGGGTGCACTAATCTTGGTTAAAGGACCAAGCAGTATTGTTATACATGATTGGTGATAATTAGCAGAAACACAGTTATCCCAAGTTGAGTAGTGAACCCATAAATATTGACATTACCAGTAATAACGTTTATGTGGGTTGTGAGTGCATCATTCATGTGTACTAGCAACTGAGTTCTAGTAAAAGTGCCATGTTGTTCATTCCAAAATAACATGGTTATAAATAATATGCTAATTTGGGATATTGTCAAGTGTGTCAAATAATCATCTGTATTGACAATGAAATAATGTAATGATTGTTTAATGTTGTAACCAAGAATTAAAAATCTATTTTGCTACTTGCAAAAGTAAGACCTAAGGGTCCAGTCCTATCTGAGTGTGTAAAATAACCATCTTATTTGTCAATGAAATAATATAACAGTTGTTTGATGACATGTACTGTTTCAAGTTGTACTGTGATAATGTTTGGAGGAAATAAAATGTGTTATTTAAAGCCAAAAATGTTATTGAAAAATAACTGATAATAAAATCTATTATCTAAAAAAAAAAAATTTCCCAAACCAATAATGCTTCCATTTACCTTTACACTTGCTCTACTTTCAAACAAACTACATTATACAAATCAAAACCATGTATCAATTGCACCCCTTTCTACATCGACGTAGTTCAGGTGTGTTCCCTCCAGGGCTTCTAATAGGGATATGAGACCCATCAATGCAGCCAAATACACCAGACATCCCTGCAAAGGTGTGAAATTCATCTACAAGGTTTTGTATGTTGCCTGAATCTGGAAAGTGAATGTAATCTTTTGCCATAAGGGTCAAAATACTTCAAAGCCTCTGACAAACTTGCAACCTGTTGAGACAGAAATCTTCAAGCAGTCTGCCATACTAATTTGGAAGCTACCACTGCTAAAGTATCTCAATGTAGTTATGAGTTGCAGGTGTGTGGTATAATGCATCCTGTAGGATAGAATTTTTTTTTATTTACTGTTTAGTCTAACATTGTTTATCCTGATTATGGTACACAACAGGGCTCCTATGATGATATAATGTATATTACTGTGTTACATTTTAAGTTCTTCAAAGAATCACCCTCTATAAAGTGCAACATACAGGTGATATCCCTGTTAGCCGGAATAATTGGTGCAGAGCTCTTCCTGGGATGAGACACTTTCTGATGTTGGATCAGTTGATCCAAGTGTTCCTGCTGGTGCAAACGCTGGCATAATTGGTGGTGGTGACTGCCTTCTCCCTTGAAGAGGAACTTTTATCTCCACAACTCATGTTTCCGATTCAATTTTGGCACGCAGATCTACCTGGTTTGTTTACATTTATCTTGGATAAGGTGTACCAACCCTCTCGAGTTGCGGCGTTCGTGTTACTAAATAGTAACCCGATGTTCGGGATTGATATTCGAGTTTGACGGGTCACTAAACAGTAACCCGACATTCGGGATTACTCTTCAGGCTTGCTGCCCCGAGTGTTTAAAAAAATGGCCGAAAAAGTTTATGACTGGTCGGTGGCTATACTCACTGTACTCTGCAGTTGTAGGAGGATTTAAATAAATTATTAAAGCACAGTACAGTACTGTACTTATTAAAAAAAATTATGCCTTATTTTTAAAAGAAATGATAGATAGTCAACACATAATAAAAGAAAATGATTACAGTAGTATATTGATTTCATAATTAAATTACCCAAACCAAAGGCTATGAGAAGGGAACCATGATAAAAAGATTTAGATTTTGGGAGTTCTATACAAAGTTGCTCTACTCACACAATTTAAAATGTTTAACCTCCAAGTTTGAATTAGGTTATGTCCATCATTGGACATTAAAAATAACTGATGTTAAATGACTTGTTATATTTAGTGCAGTAGAACGTTGATATAACACGAGATACATTCCAAGAGGTTGCTTTAAACCGAATTCGCACTAAATCGAAGTGTTGTTTCAATGGAATAATTTAGTTTGGTACTTGAGAGAAACACAAAATACTAAAGAGACTGAGAGTCTGCCCAGATGCACCTCGGCACATCTCCTAGAATAAACAAAACATTGTATTTTGTAATACAGTGGTCCCTCAATTAACGAACACAATTAGTTCCACAGAGTCGGTTGTTAACCAAAAATTTTGTTAACTGAATTATTATTTCAATGGGATATTGGGTAATTGGTTCCAACTCACGGAAAAAGTATACATACAAAGTACCGATAATAGAACTAACAAAACATTAAATATAAACTAAATACAGTACTGTACTGTACAGTATACTGTACAATAATAAATAAAAAGCAATAAAATACTGTACAGTATTTTAACTTACAGTACTTTGAGGTGTGAATGTCGTATTCCCGGCAGCTTCGTTTACATATCAAACAGCTGATTGTAGAAGCAGTCGATGATGACATGCCATATTCTTTACAGAGTGCACTGGTTCTTCTTCATGTTTCATAATAATTTCTGCACTGTATAATATCAATATGTTAACTAAATTTCAGAATGACCAATAATTTTACTGTAAAAATGCAAAAATATTCAAGAGACCAACAAACTCAATGTTCACTCCACTGTAAACAAAGTTAAACTGAGAAGCGTTGGTGGGCGATTCGATCAGCTGAAGGCCACACAAGAACTGTTCCCTGTACTGTATATATTATCAATACGTTAACTAAATTTCAGAATGACCAATAATTTTAATATAAAAAATGCAAAAATATTCAAGAGACCAACTTTCTTGATATTTACTTCACTGGAAACGAATGTAAACATAGAACCAATTACTGTATTGGCGGACTAGCTGATCAGCTGATGCAGTGACTCCAGCACCTTGATTTTCTGCTCCAGTGTGATTGCTTGCCTTGATTTCTTGGTCTTTGGGGTAGTTAATGATGTAGTAGCTGGCCTCTTGGACATAATGGCGATAGTTGATACACGTGGTAGAAGAGATAGTGTCACACAGTATGTCCGTTCACTAGAGCATCAGCGCGAGAACTGAGGATGTGGAAGGGTGGCGGGCAGCTGTGTAGTGTGCCCAGAGAGGTGTCTGGAGCGAAATTTAAAATAGTGTGTATTTCCATATGACGCCAGATTGACTCGTGTAAAATAGGAAAGATTTGCTTTAATTTAAATCATTGTCCTTAATTGTGGGCGTCGCTTTAAACCAATAATTTTAAATTGAATCGCTTTAAATAGACGTTCTACTGTATTCATTACTTCTGCATGATATCATTAGCCAGGTCAAATTCTTCAAAATAATCATCTTCTTCATTGATATATTCCTCTTCCTCAACATTTTCTATATAACGAGGAGGTGCCCTCAACAAATTTGCCACTTTGTTCTTAATACGGGATTCTTTCTTCCGCAACAAATTATATTTACTTGCCCACTGACGGATTTCTTGGGTTCTTGACAAAACACTGGTCGTATTTAAAACCCCTTGTTCCTGCGTGTTTTTCCGGTGGTTAGCTTGTCCTTTTATTATTCCTTGATGAACCTGCAAGAACCAAAATAAAGGTGACATTTAAAAACTCTACCTAAACTAATTTACTTAAAAGTAGATTAACATACAGTACTTGTTATCATCCATCATCAGGCCATTTGCAAAAGGTAGCTTTTACTTTTCAAGAACAGCTAATTCTTACAGTCAAGATTTATTTTCTTTTAACACTCTTGGGGTTTTCATACGCAAAATTGCGTACAAGCTAAATTACCTCTTTATGGTTTTCTTAAAAAAATTTGCACATGAAGTAAAAAATTTTAATTAAATTATTTATGTTTGCATATGATGCAAGACGCAGATTTGGCAACATCAGCAGTGTGGAAAACAAACACGTATCGGTCATGGCCGTGGATCTATCAGACGTATTCCACGTCACTAGAATGAATTCCACATCATTGAACTATGGAAATTTTTACAGTAAATCAGAAATAAATCATTACAAAATATATTGAGTGTTTTATAAAGTCCCAGATTGTATTAAACAAAAAATAATTGTCATTTGAGCGAACTGTGGAAAGTCGATGACTCGACAAAATAACAATATGAGGACCAGTTTGCTCTATTTACAGCACGAAGGGAGTCGAGTAGGTTTATTAAAGAATTTATTTCCCATTTATATGGCTTGCTATGAATTTATTGTAGCAGTGGTTGGTATAGCAATTATAATTTTGGACGAGAAGTCTCTTTACCACTTGAAATTTTAATTATATCAAATTTGTTTCATGAAATTTGCAGAGAGGCCCTTGCCACAGTAACAATTAGGCTACAAATCTGTTTTTGGTGAGATTACAAACGAATTTAATAACTTAATTTATGGAAGGTTTATCTAATTTTCTCCTTAATATGTATTCATTTCTTTTAATGTACATAAATATATATATAACTTTATTTTCAAAAGGAAATTGTAGATCATCATTTAGATCCACATCAGATTATGAGGCTGCAATGCAATTCATATGCTGAGATTCTAACTTTGAGATATATGTAAATGGTGTTTTCTATTAAGGTTCTAATTTTACTAAATTTATTTTTCTTTCTGATTGAAATTTAAAGCCAAGCCTATCATCTTTTTTGTAGGTTCTGAACATTTCTGCCCAAGATCATTATTGTGTCAGTAGGCAGAGCATTAACAGCCTTACTTTTTACTTCCATGCAGGTTACACATACA